ACCCGTCTTTGAGTTGGCCGCTCGAATCCTCACCCACTAGACCTCAGAAACCCAGTGAAGGCCAGCTCTGAGCCAGTTCAGAGTCGATGTCAGTGAGTTGAGTGTGAGTGTATACAAATGAAAATTCTCCCTGATCTAATTTTTTATTACCGTTCTCCAGTCTAGTCCTAAATGTCTAACTTTTCTTGACAGGGGTGGGGATGATATCATTAAATAAAAATCTTTAAACTTTTTTTATTGTTTCAGTTTATACTGGTCTCCTTTCACATGTTGTTGTTGTGTGCTGTCAAGTTAGATCCCACTTGATATTTGGACAGTTCTCAATTTGATGATGACCATTGTGTCTCTGTTAGTACCACAAGGTAAATGATTCTATTTACCAATGTATTTCAACAAGCACACTATTTTTATCTCTCTTAAAAAAAAAGGTTAGATTCCACTCACAGCTAACTCTCCAGTGGGTTCTCAGAGGCTGTAACTCCCACAGAAAGAGATTGCCTGTCTTTCTTCCTTAGAGCAACTGGTGGACTCGAACTTCTTACTTTTGGGTTGGCAGTGCAACTCTTTACCCATCAGGTCACCAGAGCTCCTTTTCCACATATCTTAAAATGTCCAGCTTGGGACCAGTGGGTTCAGATCCATTCCATAGGGTTGCTGTGAGTTGTACTCGGCTTGATGGCACCTAACAACAACAACAACAAACAAAACCCCAAAACCAACAAACAAGACGAACCCAAAGTCATTGGCATTGAGTTGATTCTAACTCATAGCAACACTGCATCCGGTTCCTGAGGCTGAAGGAACTCTTAACAGGAACAGACTGTCTCATCTTTGTCCTTCAGGGAATATCATCACCTGGGGTCACAAATTGGGTTTGGGGCCAGAGTTTCATGCACTGGATGTTTGTCCCGAGAGTAGAGCTAGAGATCAAGTCCTGTGAGAAGGAGGAAGAAATAAGAAGAGGCAGGGGGCAGAGGGCAGGGGAGCTTTGATCTGAGGACGGTTCTGGGGCTCAGTGGGTCCCAAGTTGCCAGAATGGACGGGTCTCTCCTGCTTAGTGCCCCCACTGGCTTCAACTGCCTGAGGATGGGCATGGCCTTGACCCAGTCTACTCTCGAGGGGCTGACTGCACCCCAGCACCCATGGGAACAAGTCCTCCACAGAAGGGCTCCTGGTGGGTGGACTTTATGAACAACAATGTGGCATCAAGATCAGAGGAAGACTCACTAACAACTTGCGGTATGCAAGTGATAAAATCTTGCCTGCTGAAAGCAAGGAAGACTTGAAAAGCACTTCCTGAAGAAGATCGAAGACTGCAGCCTTCAATATGGATCACACGTCAACATCGTGCTAGACTGAGGAAAGACTGAAGTTGCCATGGATTTCATTCTGCTTGGATCCAAAGTCAACCCTTAACAGTAGCACCAGACAAGAAATCAAAAGACATGCCTCCCGGACGAGGACACTCTCAAGGACACCTTTAAGGTGCTGCAGAACAAGGATTCTGTTTAAAGACTAAGGTGTGCTTGACTCGGGCTCCATATGCATGTGAAAGTTGGACCACAGACAAGAACAACCAAAGGATGTATTGTATTGTGATGGTGGCAAAGAGTGCTGAACTATCACAAGAGTAAATCAAAGGAGCTCTGGTGGCCTAGTGGCAAGAAGCTGCACTGCAGTCACAGAGACACGTGGTTCAAATCCACCAGATGCTCTGCAGGGACAATCTCCTCCTGTACCAGTCAGATCTGATTTGACGGTAGACACACAAAAAATAATAAAAATAAATTTAAAAAATTTAAAAAAGAGTAAATAAATCTATTTTAAAAGAAAAGTAGTCAGAATGCTCCTTAGAAGCAAGAGGGGTGAAACTTTATCTCATGTACTTTGACCAAGTTATCAGGAGAGATCAGTCCTTAAAAAAAGATATTGAAGGGGAGCTCTGGTGGCCTAGTGGCAAGAAGCTGCACTGCAATCCCAGAGACGCGGGGTTCAAATCCACCAGGTGCTCTGCCAGGAAAGGAGGGACAATCTCCTCCTGTACCTGTCAGATCCGATTTGATGGTACACACACACACAAAAT